ATTAACATTCGTTTGCGTTAATTAATTAAAAATAATAGCGTCACTTTTGCTCTCAAAAATGAAACTCTAAGAGTCATCTCTGGAGAAAAGGGCCGAAGTTTAGAAAAGAACCGCCCTCTCTCTCTCTCTCTCTGAAAACTCACGCCCTCCGATCAATTATGTATTCCGGTTCAACCAAGAAAATTCTTCGGTCAATACGAAAAACTTTGAGTTTGTCACTCTATGAGCCTGAAGAAGGGGATTTCCACCCAACCACCCCCGGGTTATAAAAAGCCCTGCACAAGGCCGCGATAAGCAGTCTAGTGAAAATTAATAAAGTCAGATTATTTTAAGAAGTTCAGTGGACATTAGTAAACTCAGATTCAAGTTCAAGTTCTTATTGTTAGAAAAGTTCAAGTTATTTAAGAAGTCCAGTGAAAATTAATAAACTCAGATTCAAGTTCAAGGAGCTAAAACTATAATATAAGAATAATATAATATAATACGAGTATAATATAATAATAATATAATAATAAATATAATATAATAATATAATAATAAATATAATATAATAATATAATATAATATAATAGAATAATATAAACTATAATATAAGAAACATCGTCAGCCCGAAGGAAATTAGTCGGATTTAGAGAGAGCAAGAGCAAGATAGAGAGAGCAAGAATCCTTCTTAAGAAATGAGATGGCCAAAAAGTGTCGCGTTTTATTCGTGATGTGATTGGCTGAGAAGGAGTCACGTGGTGGGGAGAGTATAGAAGAGTGAGTGAGAGAGAGAGTATATTAACCCATTAAAGCCCACGCTAAGACTGGTTGAGATAGCGACAAACAAACTGTGCTATCTTTTGCATAAGTGAAAAATAAAATATACGTATTTTTTTTTATGTTATTTTCAATTGTTTATAACAAATTATTTAAACAAATTACAAAAAAATTCATAATTATCAAAATCTAAATGCGGGAATCGATTCTGGAGGTGAAATCAAGACGAAAACCTATATAACACTTTTTTGTCAGAATTCAATTTGTTAGTGTAACGTAGGAATAAACAATTGCATGTTGGGGAGAAAAAGTGACCATGTCAAGTCCCAAGCAAAATCTATCTGGAATAGCAAAAAATAAACTGTGCTATCCTTTGCATAAGTGAAAAATAAAATATATATATTTTTTCTTATGTCATTTGCAATTGTTTATAACAAATTATTTAAACAAATTACAAAAAAATTCATAATTTTCAAAATCTGAATGCGGAAATCGATTCGGGGGATAAAATTGAGATGAAAACCTATATAACACTTTTTTGTCAGAGTTCAATTTGATATCTTTATGTAGAAATAAACTATTGACAAATAAGTGTTTTCATTCTCACACATGGTATCTGGAATCATATCAGTATTTTTTACTGATAAATTTTGAGATCTTATACTGTAATTGGATAAGTTTATTTCATTTCGTAAATCCTTCCGTGTTAGAGATCACGTTTGAGTGGCGGGCTAACGGTTGAAAACATTTATACATTAGATCTATTCTTTGAAATAATAATTTCGGAAAACTTTTAGTTTTTATTTTGTTCTAAATTGGTAACGTTACTGATAATGCCGAGACGGAGAATTAGCGATCTACCAAATTTAGTTGAAGATTCTGATAGTGATGAAGGTCAACATATTGATATAGCATTCATTCCTAATGAATATGAAAGTTCAGATGGAGATTCGGACGGTGATCCAAATGAAGATACATTATCAAATGAATTACCATCAGGTTCTTACGAATATGTTAAAAGTACATACACAAGTACTCAGAAATTGTTGGAACCGAATCATAAGTACAGTTGGAAAAATGATGCTTTGAATGATATTTCTCCGCATGTCGAGAGCAACTTCAATATTTCACCTATTTCATCATTGCAATCCAAAAATGCTTTTGAGTTGTTTGAGGTTTTCTTTTCGAAATCAATGAAAAACCATATCATTGAAGCCACTTCTGAAAATCATTTTGATTTATGTATGGATGATCTAGAAAAATTTATTACAATCATAATGATTACTATCTTCAATTCTAGAAAAAGTATTCGTGATTACTGGTCAAAAAAGCGAATACTTCAGTGTCCAGTAATTGCGGAACTTATGTCTAGAAATAATTTCGTTGCCATAAAAAAGAACATACGATTCTATAAACTTCAAGAAACTGATCAAAATGATAAAGTCTGGAAGGTTAGAACTCTGTATGATATGTTTCGTGAGAATTGTATGCAATTTGGTTTCTTTGACTATAATTTATCAATAGATGAGATAATGGTAAAATACTTTGGTAGGTTTGGTATCAAGCAATGTATAAGGAATAAACCCATTAGATTTGGAATAAAAGAATGGGCAGTCTGTTCTTCTGATGGGTATATATATGATCTTGATATTTACACTGGTAAATCAGGAATCGATGAACGAAATCCTTTAGTTGCCGTTGGTTTAGGGTCTAGAGTGGTGATAAAGTTACTTTCGAATTTATTAGAAAAAACACAGAGAGAAGAACTGAAAAAGTATCATATTTATTTTGACAACTTTTTCACAAACCCAGATCTTATGATTCATTTGAAAAAAAATGGTTTATCGGCGACAGGAACTGTTCGGCATAATCGTGTGAAAGTGAAAGTCGAAATGCCAAAAAAAGCTAAAAGAGGATACACTATTTCAATGCATGAAGTGAATTCAAAATTGAATTATATTACAGTTATGGACTCAAAGCCAGTATCGATTCTCTCTTCGAAATATGGAAATGAACCAAAAGTTGAAATGCAGAGATGGCAGGAATCATCGAAAAAATCTATTCTTTTTCCTCATTGTTTCTCTATGTATAATGAACACATGGGTGGCGTCGATCTACATGATCAACACTGTAATGCTTTGATGCCTACAATTCGAAGTAAGAAATGGACATGGTGCCTTGTATTACGGCTCATCCAAGCATCCTTAGCAAACGCTACAGTGATTTACAATAAGTTACATCCAGACGAAAGAAAAGGTTCCAAAGATATTGTTCAAGAAGTTTGTGAATATTATATTGACAAGTTATCTTCCAAACGTCCCCCCAAACGACAGAAACAGAGTGAAACTTCATCCCAAGAACACGTGATGAAACATGGGAGTCTTAGGAAATGTGGAATTTCAACATGTCGGACAAGAACGGAATGGTATTGTGAGAAATGTTCTATGCCTGTTTGCAAAAGTCATAAAGAAGGACATGGCAATGAACAATAATTCAATCCCACCGATTATATTTACAATAATTCATGCCAATATTGATGGATAAATACAATAATTAGCTTCATTTTATACGATTTTTTGAAACACTCTCAGGAGGCCGAATGTTTCTTCCTTCATTACAATAACTAATTGGCCTCTGACAGAAAAGTGTTATATAGGTTTTCGTCTAAACTTTACCCCCAGAATCGATTTCCGCATTCAGATTTTGAAAATTATAAATTTTTTTATAATTTGTTTAAATAGTTTGTTATAAACAATTGCAAATGACATAAGAAAAAATATATATATTTTATTTTTCACTTATGCAAAGGATAGCACAGTTTATTTTTTGCTATTCCAGATAGATTTTGCTTGGGACTTGACATGGTCACTTTTTCTCCCCAACATGCAATTGTTTATTCCTACGTTACACTAACAAATTGAATTCTGACAAAAAAGTGTTATATAGGTTTTCGTCTTGATTTCACCTCCAGAATCGATTCCCGCATTTAGATTTTGATAATTATGAATTTTTTTGTAATTTGTTTAAATAATTTGTTATAAACAATTGAAAATAACATAAAAAAAAATACGTATATTTTATTTTTCACTTATGCAAAAGATAGCACAGTTTGTTTGTCGCTATCTCAACCAGTCTTAGCGTGGGCTTTAATGGGTTAAGTTCAGGAGTATATACACATCGAAAGTTTTAAATAATGTCGATTAACTAATAATAATAATAAAATAAAATAATGATGTAATAATGTCGATTGAAAATAAATTATATCACTGCGTGCATGTATGTGTCGCTGATGTCGCGATACATTGTGTATGAGTATTCGTGCATATATGTGTCGCTGATGTCGCGATACATTGTGTATGAGTATACGGCCTTAAAGGTGCTAATTGGGTATAGTTCTCAAATTAGCTGTCCTGCATGCATGTACACGTCGTGCTGATTCATCAATCGCTGCTTTTTGAGAGTGTTCTTTATCGATTAACATCGTCTTTCATATATTGTTTAAACGATAACTACAGAAATTGACGGTAAGTTTATAAGATAATAATTATTATTTATGGTTGCGTATTTTTGAAGTCCACTATTATTAGAATTAGAATTCTATAAAAAACGAGTTAGTTAGGTTAGCTTGAAACATGTGATTTAATTGTCTTAGTTTTTTGATGTTCTGTAATTAATGTGTAAAAAAAATTAATGTTGAATGTTACTCTATCAAAATTCTGTTCTATTTATTTACAGTTCTATAGTTTTCATTTCATATTTCAAAATCTAGAATTCGATTCAAAATAATGATGAGAGAATTGATAGAGATTTAACAGAAGTAATTGACAACAACTGATATTATTACTTTAACGGAGTGAAGTGTAATTCTTTGTGGATTTATTTGAATAGATAAGGATGGCCGAACATAATCCAGTTGATCCAAATGAGGTAGAGAAAGATCAGAATCAGGTGAGAGGAGATGGTGCTGCATCGGCTGCAAATGTCAATCCGCAGAATGGACATTTGGCAGCTAACAACAATGGAGCTCAAGCAGTTGATGAACCGGAAATTTTACCTTACACAACTGATGATGATTTTTCTGATATCCGGGATAAGGATAAACATGTGTAAGCAGTATTACAAATATAGTTTCTATTTTTTGCATTAATACTTTGCTGTTGCATTTGTAAAAGCATGCAGCGCAAAGCTAACTGTTTAAATTCTCACTTTAAATTCTTTTTTAACAGCGAAGTGATTGGTTGATGAGGTACATGCGCCAACAGTGGTTGGTCGATTGAAAAAATATGATCTCTTCAAATTCGTGTTGAACAATAATAGCCAGAGTAGAGTGACATGCTTAGTCTGGGGAACACCAATAATTAAAAAACATGTCGACTCCATTGCTATTGATAATGTGAGTATACGATACATACATTTTGTTACTTCCTCATTCAAAATACATTGATTATCCATTCTATTACTATAAATGTCTATGAATTAATATTTTCATTGTAGATTGTACACATTGAATCTGCCACAAGTAAGTCTGTGGCGCAAGAACAGATGAAAAATAACTTGATTGGGATGGAGTTATTGATAAAGGACGATACTATTGTAACTGTACTAGGAAAACATACTGCCCCTACCCCTGACTTAATTATCCCAACTGAATTTACAACTGTACAATTTGCAGAGACTGGAAAATCTCAGGAAATCATAAGTAAGATATATTTTTTCATAGTTTTTTGAAAAATTTAATTCCAGTATTTGTAATTGTTTAATATTTGTTCAATTTCATTGAAAAATTAACCTCAGTTAGATATTTTTAATCTCCCACTCAGCTTATTCAAATGTATATAATTATGTAGATTAACAGCGTAAGAGTAATTTTTTTATTCGTAAGTCCATTTTTTTATAAGTTTAATCTTTTTTTATAGGTGTTGAAGGACACATCAAGATTAAGTTCTACAAGCCTGAGGCTAAATTCAATACTGAAGTTGGGGGCGTTGGCTGCATAACTGATGGCCAGTACAAAGTCACCATAAACATTTCAAATTACCAAGGATTGAATTTTGAAAAAGGTGTTTGTGTGAAGGTCATAGGAACAGTGGATACCAGTGGTATGTACTTATGAACAAAAATTTAACTACTACTGAATACTGATCATGTTTTGAGTAACTGTCGTCTTTGAAATAGTTATGTATTTTATCCTTTAAGGATTGTGAAAAGCTGGTACTTGAAATTTTGTTTTCTCATTTGTCACGTTTATAGGAGCAGGACCAGTATCCATAAAATGCATAAATGACTTGTGTGTGACTGAAGTTGAAGGCGCTCCCAAAATGTCTGCTGCGGATGTCTCTCGCGGAAACAAGACACCTAAGAGAGGACGCGATTAGTCATATGTCATCATTAATTCACTACCATACTTATTTATTTGCATCAGATAGCTTTTCCATTTTTTGTGCCTCCTTTTTTTGCTAAATATTCCTCTATATAAACTCGAAGTATTGATGTATTATACTGCGATATGGTATAATGAGGCGATAAGGGAAAGTAAAAGTCTAATGTACGAGAGCAGTATTGTTTGAAATAAGGGTATTTATATACTTTTTTACTTTAAACTTCGAACTAAATGAATAGTGATATTACTTGGTAAAAATGTTGAAAGTAAATTTTATGCCTAACGTCATAAGTAAACATGCATACACTATTTAATATGTTTATGTAATATGTTCTGATACATTGTTCATAAGTATATATAGATAATATATATTTATTTGAAAAATAGCATATAGACGTATGTATAGCATTTGAAGCATTGCTTATTTTAAATTAATGTAATAACAGAACTGTTTTATTTAATGACTGACCAGTAATATAATAGTTTTATGCAAAGTTCCTATCTAAATATAAAAGTTCAATACATACTTTGAGTAAACATGGAAAGTGAGAATAATATAGAGTAATTTTTAGAATACGAAATGTAATACTTTTGTAAATTTAGTATTCTTATGAGTAAATGTGTTTGTTTACGATGTTTGCGAATAGCAGTAGTTGGAAATAGTACATATAGCCAGTCACATGTTCCTATAAGGCTATCCAAATAATATTTTTACATTGTAAAAATCGAGGCGAAAAAGATTTTGTAAGGTGATATAATCACTTAAAATTTCTATATGTTATGTTCGAATAATTATGTAACAACTGTTTTGATAACATTTTAATATACTTGTACGATGTAAAATTTTGTAAAAGGAGATACTATTCAATAAAAATTTTCTACCATGATCTGGTCCATATGGATGTGCAGTTTTCTGTTATTAAAATAAATAAAAATAACAGAATTTTGGTCTCATTAATAGGGTTTTGTTCAAATAATTTTTTTCACCCCCGATCATTCAACAGGATTTTTAAAGCAATACCAATTTTTTTTTTTTTTTTTTTTTTAATTTTATAAGCACATGAAGTAATATAGTTGGATTAAATGTGCTGAGTAAACTTTGGTTTGGAATTTTTTTTAGGATTTCATTGACAATTTGACACTAAAAACGAAAACGTACGAGATTCTGAAGTACAACGCCCTCATTAGTATGCTCCCTAAACTAGCCTATAACACAAATTTTTTTCAAGCTTATCGAGTATCGATCATCTATATTCATTCTTTCGAGAGAGTGAGTGACTGTGACTGAGCATATTTTCTATTTTTTTAACGTAAAAGTATATAACGTGTAGATTAATTTGAAAAAATATTTTGTCTATTTTGAGAAGAAAATAGACCAGAAATACTGTTAATGATTACGGTTCTCACAGTGGCCGGGGTGTATTTGTTTTTGTGTTTGAAGAATATTGCCGGATTTCGGCAAGTATAACATTGTTCCCTTTTATTGGGTACTTAACCTCCATTCCATATTAACAGTTTTCTACAAGTTTTGAATCATTTTACTTAGTCATGTGTTTATTGAAAGCATAATGAAAAACGATTATATATCATAGTTTGCATTGTTTATATACGCAGTATTTCATTTCTATTCCAGACAATTTTTGTTATCACATAATTCCACAATTGTGAACAAAGGATCCAAGATATATAGAAGCTCAGGAGCTTCTTATCAGGGAAAGTTGATTAAATACTGGATATATGCTAGGTGAATTAATTCTATGTGTTTAAATTATAATATTGTCTGTATTATGTGATAACACTTAGATCTCTACTCTGTATATGGAATTGTTTTTCATGTTCCAGGTAATCATATACCAACAAAGTAATAAGAATTGATAGTTCAAGGATTAAAGCTTCGCTGCAAAATTTTGAATTTCCATTTGCTTATGAAACCTCAGTGAGTACTATTATAATATTAGTGTACCAAATCCACCTTTAAATTTTATGTAAGCCAATGATAAACAATGACGTATCAGAATATTTGACATTTTTTTGTGAAGTTAACTTAAAGATAGTATTTCAACAATGAGGAAAGTATCGTTATATCCTATATTATGGCATCATTATCACAAATTATTTTAGATATATCCTCTTATGATGCAGCTTAATTCTATATCGATACTCATTTATGATTCATACTATTGATTTTTTCTTTTCAGATAACTTTTTCTTTCAAGATTAGGAGCAAGCCGTGATTTGTTTTTTCTCTGAAGCTTTCTACTTGAAAACAGAATCTGAATAATGATTGATGAGTTGAATATTGTAAAATTGAATAAGTCATAATATATTCAGGTGACTATAATATATACTCTATATTATTCTATATTCAATCTACAATTATTCTTATGTTTCAGAAAATCTTGTGCTTCATGTCTATTTCAAAGTTTGTCTCCTTTATTTGGCTAGGAATCTTTGGTGCGTATAATAACATAGTGATGTGATATTATTGGGTTCATTACACTTGGAATTGTTTTTACATTATTTTTTAATTTTTGCCAAGTGTTCATTATAAAAAAAAGTTGGAAAATATAAAAAATTTATTGTTGACATATTAGTGTACTCTATTTGTAAGTTACGAATAAAGATTATCATCTTTTTCCATAAAAACGTATTCACATATTCAATTATGTATCTATATAATATTTGTACATGAGACCAAACTAAACCGAACCAAACTTGAAACCAAACCGAACCAAACCTAACCAAACCAAACCAAATCAAACCAAACTTAAATAAACCAATCCAAACCAAACTAAACCTAACTACACGATACCAAACCAAAATACCAAAACCAAATTGACAAAGCCAAAGCATAGTAACGTAAAATAGAAAAGTTATAGCATGCTCTTTCAATAACTGGGTATTTATTGAATTATATATTTCATTATATTAATATTCAAATTCTATTCGAACTAATATCGAAAAAATCGTCTTTTTATATAGAGTAATTATTTGTTAATAAATTGTCAAAATTTTTTTGCTCTATTATTCGGAAACATGGGCAGACGAAAACTCACAGACGAAGAAGCAAAGGTTGCGAGCGCTCAAAAGCGTATTCGTGATGCAGAGAATGCACGCTGTAGGCGCCAAGCTGAACGTCAACGAATTATTGACAATAATCGAGCATCAAGGCAAAACGTTAAACATTATTTAGGACCTATGGATGTTCTATGTCAGCATTGTAAAGCTAAACATTTTAATGACGAGAAAGTTTCAAACAAAGGTTTATCTTTCAATGATTGCTGTGGTCATGGAACAATAAAATTAGATCCATTACCAAATTTTCCTCCTGAACTTAAAAATTTATTTGATGGAGAGCATAATAAATCATCAAGATTTTTTTATCGCATACGCCATTATAATAATTCTTTATCTTTCGCATCATTCAATGCCAATTTATTCAATTTTCGGTCACAAAGATAAGCTCCCTACTGTTTCAAAATTCAAGGTCAAATATATTATCAAATAAATACAGCTTTGTACCCTAGCGAAGGCGAAAATCCTGCATTCGGTCAGCTTTTCATAATTGATCAAAATGAAGCAATGAAGTATCGCATGCAACAAAATTCTGTTCTAGATTATAACTTGATGGCAATACTGGATGGTATAATCCGTAATAATAACATTTATGCAAAATCATATGAAATGATGATAGATGAAATTCGTATGCAGCAATTGATTGCAGAAACTAATGGGAATACATCACAACCTGACACATAGGTCCTTAGCAGCCGGAAATTTGAACAAAAATGACGACAAAAGTGGCAATGGGGTTTCATTTGTTATCACAAAATATACTAAAATTTACTGGAATGAAAATCGGCGAAGCAAGGATATTTGTTTTTTACACAATTTTTCTTTCTTTCTAGTCAATCATTAATAATTTAATAAAATAATTTAATTGTTAAGCTAGATTTATTTTCGATACATAATTATTCAATTTTTATTATACAAATAACGCTTGACAAACGCTTTACAAACTTTACAAACATCGAACTCATATTGCATTGACAAATAAATATAATTAAATATGCAGAGATGAAAATTCAACAACGGCCTTTTTTAGTCTGTGAGGATATGAATTAGCATCGGTTGTTACATTTATTTTATATTTATTTCAGTATTTTAAAAATTCTTTGTGAACTGATTCCCCAGCCTGTTCAGACCATACCCCCAAGCCAACGTTATCCAAGAAACCTAAACAATCTTTTAAATGTTCCGTCACAACATGAACTTTTAACGTTGTAGATAATTCTGTCGCTTGAAAACTTTTTTTTTAATTTACGATGAGAGTATCTATATCACTTTTTGGTTGCGTTGTTGAAAAGCAGGCAGTAACTACTTTATCCATGGCTTTCAGGGCGTTCACAAAGCGTAAGAGTGCTAATTTTCCTACTCCGTTGCAAATGTCTGAATCAAACAACTTATCAGATTCTTTTAAAAGTTTCCGACAAGCGTTGCCCTCAAATATTTCTCCATGATAGTTTTTTGGAATCACATTCAATTTTTTTGGCCACGTAAGAGCTTTTTCCCGACCTAATAGAGGTACTAATCCCTGCCAGAAAATATGGTTCACGTAACCTTGAAGTACGTGTAATTCAGGAATCACACACCGTTCCAACACGCAAAAATCGGTCTTTTCTTCAAATAGAGGTCGATTAATAACGCTGTGGTAATTCTTGGCTACCTTCTTATCTTTTCCGATAGAACAAAAGGCGTCATGATCATTTTCAAGCATCCCATAAGTTTTCAATGGTAATACATCGCTACGATTTGAAGAACGTCTCGAAGAGTCCAGTGTTATATTGCAGTAAGGGCAAGGGAAAGAAGAAGTAGCAGTCTGTTGACCATTTATTAATAAGAGCAGCTTGAAATCGGAGCAAAATTTAAAGGAAATATTATTGATCTGTATTAAATCAAATAAAATTTTAACGTTTTCGTAGGTCTCTTTGATGTCAGGAACTATACACAGCATTATCAAACGATAAACACTAGTTATCTTGGATTTTGCACTCACACTTCCTCCTTCGTGGTACGTTTTTCTTTTTTTCTTGAAAGGTTGATCATTGTTTTCTATAACATCATTAGCTGGTATAATCGACATACACACTTTAAAAAAACCTTGTCCGCCGTCGGCCATTACTTTTACAATATAGTTGCCGACTACATGTCGTTCACATAATATAGCGTCTAATAATTCACTTGCATCCGCCCAAATCACAGTCCTGTCTTCTTTTACTTTACCGCTTCCGACATCAAATTTGAAACCACTGGATTTGTATAAATTATTCAAAAATGAAGATTTTTCAGTCATATGCTGACGATAATTTGTAGGTACGGATTTTTTGCCAGCAGAACAACGTATGAAATTTGTTAAATTTTTCATTTGTTTCGATGAAAAACCACTAGTACTTTTAAGTTTTTTTTTTTTTTTTCACAAAATTTGTCCGAATAAATAAATAAACATGTACAATAGCTTAACAGTTTTTCTTTTCTGTTTTTTGTTTACTTTTCGCCACATACCCGTATCGTGCAAAATTTCTTATACTTAGATACACAAAGTAAGTATTTTTGCTTACTGCCATATTCACGCTCGCAGTTAAAAACAATACTTTCTTCGAAATTATCGACAGCTATGCAATATTAAATATATGAAAAAAATTAATTCATGAAAAAAATCAAAATTTATGTAAAAAACAAATATCCTTGCTCCGCCGATTTTCATTCCAGTAAATTTTAGTATATTTTGAGATAACAAATGAAACCCCGTTGCCACTTTTTGTCGTCATTTTTGTTCAAATTTCCGGCTGCTAAGGACCTATGTGCTGAATTGCAGTTATTATTTTCATTAAAACCAGGTCAAGACCATCGTAGATACAATTTTCAACGAGTAAATGAAGTTGCTGCAATATTTTCAACTAGCGCTGATGGAGAAATACCCGAAAAACCCGAAGTCTTGCAATATGTCAGTTCTCTAGATCCTAATGTTGAACCGTGGATTTATCCTTTATTTTACCCATACGGTACACAAGGTTGGCATGTAAATATGTTTCGCACAGATCATGAACGTAAAATTACCCGACTAGATTATGCTAGGACCAGAATGGCAATCATAAATGACGATTTTAATCCTATCATAAGAGGACGTAGACTGTTTCACCAATGGGTAGTAGACAGTTACGTAAAAATTGAAAGAGATAGGATTTAATGGTGTAATTCTCATCAAAAACAATTAAGGGCTGATACGTATCAAGGTTTGAATGATTACATGAGTAATCGTGCAAATGATGTTGATGGGCAAGTAGGTAGAACTATAATACTTCCTTCAACATTTCTTGGTTCCCCTCGATATATGTTATCAAGACGCAATGGCTATTGTAAATGAAACTGGGAAACCTGACATTTTTCTGACTATGACATGTAATCCCAATTGGCTAGAAATAACTAAAAATTTATTACCAGGACAGCAAGCTGCTGATAGACCAGATTTGGTAGCTAGGGTTTTTGATTTGAAAAAAGATCATTTGCTTCATGTTGTTACAAAAGAAAATTTTTTCGGAAAAGTATCATCTTATGTTTATGTTATTGAATTTCAAAAAAGAGAATTGCCACATATGCATTTACTGATCACACTGGAACAAGGCTTCAAAATTACTACTCCTGACATAGTTGATAAATTCATCTCAGCCGAAATACCAATTGAGGTGAGAAATCCACGCTTATTTGAAATTGTTTTGAGAACTATGATTCATGGTCCATGTAGTGACTGGTGTATGAAAGACGGTAAATGTTCCAAAAATTTTCCAAAAGAATTCCAAGCCACAACTACTATCGACGAAAATGGTTATCCAAGTTATCGAAGAACAGATACCGGTGAAGAGTATGAATGCCCTAATGGACACAAAACCGATAATAGGTGGGTTGTTCCTCATTGTCCTGAGCTATTAGAAATGTTCGACTGTTATATCAACGTGGAAATTGTTTCCAGTATCAAAGCTGTTAAATATTTATACAAATATATTTATAAAGGACACGACGCCGCTACAGTGGTGATCGGAGAAGCTGAAAATCAGAACACTATTGAACACAATGAGTGTCGCAATTTTATTGAAACCCGTTACGTTAGTCCTGTGGAAGCATGCTACAGAATTTTCAGTAAACCACTACAACATAAAAGTCATTCAGATACAACATTACCCATACATCTACCTAATGAACAGGCAGTAATAATTACCGAAAATGAAGATGAAATGGCATTGTTAGCGTGTTTGAACAATTCAAGTAGCATATTACTTGATTATTTTACTTTGAATGCAACTAATGATGAAGCAAGACAGTATTACTACACTGACATTCCGAAGTATTTTAGACATATAAAGAAGAAAGTTGATGGGCAAATGACTTCGTCATGGGCAGCCAGGAAAAAACATTCTGATTGTATTGGATGCATGTATTCAATAAGCCCTACACATATTGAATTATTCCATTTACGACTGTTGTTATTACATGTGAAAGGTGCCACAAATTACAATGATTTGAGAACTGTAGATAATATATTACATCCTTCTTTCACAACAGCCTGTCTAGCGTTAGGGATTATTGAAGACGACGAGGAATGGAACAAAGCTATGAGAGAAGCAGTAACCTGGATGATGCCGCGGCGCCTCAGACATTTATTCATTCGTATATTGGTTCATTGTCAACCAATTTATCCTGAAAAATTGTGGGAAGCATTTAAAGATTCAATATCAGAGGACTTTTCACGTAATAATGATTTGAATACTAGCTATCAAGAGGCTTATGCTGAAATAAATAACCTTTTAATTAAAGAAGGAAGAAGTTTAGTTGACTTTCCGACAATGAATCAAAATGTAATAGTTGATATTCTTAAAAATAATGATGATGAAGAAAACCGCCGATTGGAAATTGGCAATCAACAATATCAGAAATTAAATGCAGAACAAAAACAAATAGTTGATATCATTCTTGAAGCATCACGTTCACAGAATTATGCTGGCTCAACTTGCTTTTATATAGATGGACAAGGGAGTTCTGGAAAAACGTTTGTTTATACTACAATTTATAATCTTTTAATGTCAGAGAACATACAATGTTCTACGATGGCATACACGGGTATTGCTGCAACATTACTGCCTAATGGTAAAACAGTATATAAGACTTTTGGTTTACCGGTTCCTATGTTTCATGATTCATCTTCAAATATTAAAATACAATCTAACGAAGGCAAACTTCTGAAAAATGCTAAAGTTTTCATCTGGGATGAAGCACCAATGGCCCCGAGGTATGCTTTGGAAATCGCTAACAGAACATTACAGCATATAATGAACAATGACCTTCCATTCGGTGGAAAAATAATGATTCTGGGCGGTGATTTTAGACAGCTTCTTCTAATACAAGTTAATGGAACACGCAGTGAAATATTAAATTTGTCTCTAAAAAATAGTCATTTGTGGACATTTTTTTCCAAATTTCAATTAAAAACAAACATGAGGGTTTTGCCTAATGAAATAAATTTTTGTTACAAGTTGGTGATGGAACGTTGAATGATGAAAATGATAATTTACAGCTTCCAGAGCAAAGTGTACTTCCTGCAAATGAATGTATTGTTCAAAATATTTTCGGTAACTTAATTAAAGATAAGAAATTTGATGATATCACCCACTGTGCAATTTTATCTGCTCGAAATGCTGATGTAGATGAAATGAACATGAAAGTTACTAATCTATTAGATAAAAAAACTGAACACATCTACACTGGTATAGACAGTACAGAGAACTGCGACAATGGGGAGATGCAAGAGATTCTTCTGCCAGAATATCTCAATTCATTAAATCCACCGAACTTTCCGCCTCATAAATTACGCCTAAGAAAATATTGCATAGTAATGTTAATTAGGAATATAAGCATCAGTGAAGGATTATGTAATGGAACGAGATTACAAATAATTGATTTTTCAAAACATTTACTAAAGTGTAAAATATTGACTGGAGATAAATGTAATAACATCATATTTCTTAATAGAATCACATTATATTGTGAAAATCTATATCCATTTATTTTCAAAAGACGTCAATTTCCTATTCGATTAGCTTTTGCTATGACGATTAACAAAGCTCAAGGACAAACATTAAAAACACTTGGAATCGATCTTCGGAGAGATGTTTTCAATCATGGTCAACTCTATGTCGCTATGTCTAGAGTAAGATCATGGGATTCGTTAAAAATTTATCTGGGAAATCAAAGGCATAATTTATTGGTTAAAAATTACGTATACACAGAATTATATTCAAAAAAATATCGTTTACTTTCAACTTCAGATGGAACCTGATATTTGTTTAATATATTTACTTGGCAAGCGATATTTGCAAATATATTTAAATATTTTATTCTAAACATGCATATTATTGAATTTGTGCGCGCAAAGCGCGCTGTCGTGTTCTAGTGACTTTAAAGAAAGAAATCTTCCTTACTTCGAAACAAATAAAAAAGAGTAAGTTACAAAATTTATTTGGCTATCTTTTCCTTCCGTAATAGTTATCCCTTTTCGGAGATCCATTAAGCCTGACTCTGGTGGATTTCCATTCAAGCCCCCTTAAGAGCACATTAAGCTAGATGTTTGGTGTGCTTATAATAAGATTTGGTTATTATTACCTCCATAATTAGGAGTTTCTGGAGCAACAATATTGCTCGTCCCGGCTAAAGTATTACGCACAAGCCAAATCAGAGCAATCCTGAGTCTACGCTTACTCCAAGCGTACCTGAGAGTGACTTCGACGTCACATGAACTCGGTATAGGAGTATAAGTAGATTACAAAAAAGTTGTAAGCAGTACACTTTTATGTACAGGTAATTTGAAAGCAAATTTATCATACCACAGTAGGTTAACTTTATTAAAAAGATCTAGAGAAAATATATTGTTCTACGTAAATAATAGAACATATAATTATTTTACGGAAAATTTTTTTTTATCGACAATAGTTAATTTGAACTTAAAGCCAAAGTTGACAAATATGAATTTGCGAGAATACTATTTTGAAAAGTACATAGCTATTCCTTTTTGACAAATTGTCATTCATTAAATAACTAAATAGTGTTAAGATAGGTAGTCTTGCGTTTAAAAATCCTATCTATTTCTAAAACTAAGAATGTGAAAAAAGATCTTATTTTTACAAGTGATGGAGTAGGTGGTTGAAATGACAGGACAGTACACAATATATTTTAGCTCTAACTCTAGCCTCAATAAATATTAAGTCTAGAGATAAATTAAATAAATAAATCTTGCGACATAAGGATGTTACACTACTAATGGTTGACGATTGCCGCGCGCGCGTGTCACCTAGAAAAAGCGGCGATGATGGTACTGGGGGCATGTATGCGCACACAAGCACGGAAGCACATCTAACAACAAGCAAAAAAATGCATCTTTGCACTAAATAAGTTGATTTTAAAACGGAAACGATAGTTCATTTTTTAATGATTTTCAAAAAAGGAAAAACCTAAGTTGTTTAATAAGAAAAGTATTCAATGCGTTTTGTTTTTAAAACTAGGAATGCAACAAGTGACTTGTAAATTTTATCAAGAAAACTTGTTTTTTTTTTCAGGTGAGATACTTGTTACGTATGCCGACTTCTTCCTGAATATTACTATTTTACCAAGATGATCATTGGAAAGAAAATTACGCTAAGGAACGGATATTGTTCCAGGATTTTTTAGTAATTTTTACATGAACTCACATTTTTTATATTACTTAAGATTATTATAATAATTCTTAAAATTATTTTTATGTAGCAATCGGCATATCTGTTAAATGGTATACTCGTATTTACATACAATTTCCAAGCTCATTAATTTAAAAGTATGATTTTTTTATAATCTTAGATACTATATTTATACTAATTACTCATGTATGACTTCCACAAATAAAGTTTATCTTATTATTTTAAATAGAGAAGATACAACTGCTTTTCAAGAAAAATTCGGTATTTTTGCTTTAATCTATTTACTTTAATACTTGGTAAATGCTGGAGAAGGCATAATGAATAAATGATAAAACATACAAAGTAATTTATTAATGAGAAATCAAATTTTTGACATTTTTATTTTGAATCGCGTGCCTTTTCACAAAGCCGTTTGAGCCAATATGGCGGACGTTGGCCACACTCTTCAGAATACTTTTGTAACGGGGACTAGGGTCCTATTAATATAGACGTATCCGTTTAAATTCTAGTGACATCAGTAAAAAAATTATCATAGTTTTTAATTTTTTTTTGGGACAACTTAAAGGGTTCAATTAAAATAATGAGCATTTTTGGATGGTTCAATTAGAGATATTTCGAATAGTAATTTTTTTCCCCTGTCCATTACACTTTGCAGGCTGGGGTAAGAGAGTGTTGCACACCAATCTAATTAAACCCTCCAAAAATGCTCATTATTTTAATTAAATCCCTTCAGTTGTCCCAAAAAAAATTAAAAACTATGATAATTTTTTCGTTTTTTGCAACTGCGATATCTTTTGTAATACTTAATATTTTTACAAAGAAATAAGGCAAAAAAAATTGAACCCTTGCTCGTTTCAATTGCACCCCTCTTACTTTTCCAAAATTATTAATATATATGTCAAAAACAACAATCTAATTTTATTGTATGTTCTTTCCAAATAGATGGGTTATTGGGTTATTTGGAAAAAACATTGCAGCGGTAGTCGATTCAATTAATCGATCCGTTCGCGATTTTTTTACTCGCGTGTTAGTTTGAACAATTAAGAGAGAAAGGGCGCGCGAGAGTTTGAAAACAGGCAGTTAAGCCTCAGCTGCTTTCGCAAGAATACCGCCAACTTGTTTTGCACTGTGTTTCGCCGTTTCTTATAAAGTTTTCTGGGACTATTTTTTACATGCGTGAGTGTAACAGCATTATAGCGGTAGCAAGCAGCAGCAGTATAATAGCAGAAAATAGCAACATATTGGAGAGCGAGGCAGCGCAGCTGATCAATTAGAGGAGCATCGACCGTTGATTTTCTTCAACAACAATTACGGCTGATCACCGTAATTGCACAGCAGGGTAGGTACACCTCCCTTTATTATTGCGCGACAAAATACTTTCGAAAGTATTTTGTCAATCGCGATCTTAAATTTTTTTGTATTCGCGCCGAGCGTTAGTTTTTGCGGCATTTTTCGAATTCTCTCTCTCTAAGGCTTAAGTTTTAATCCGATTTCATCTAGGGGATTAGGCAGATTAGGCATAAAGTCAGTCACACCTAAGATAGATCGAGTGTCACAAGTCAAGTAACTTGAGGTGAGTTCAACTCGGTTGGAAAGAAGACACTGAAACGAAATCATCAGATGTAAAGGCGAATACACGTAGAACTATACGTGTTTAATAGAGCGGCGGTTAGCTCTGCATCGTGGGAGTTTGTGCTTAAATAAATTTCTCATTTTTGCTAGATAACCACCCCGTTACAACATACAATAAAATTAGATTGTTGTTTTTGACATATATATTAATAATTTTAAAAAAGTAAGAGAGGTGCAATTAAAACGAACAAGGGTTCAATTTTTTTGCCTTGTTTCTTTGCAAAAATATTAAGTATTACTAAAGATATCGCAGTTACAAAAACGGAAAAATTATCATAGCTTTTTATTTTTTTGGGACAACTAAAGGGGTTTAATTAAAATAATGAACATTTTTGCAGGGATCAATTAGAGAAATTTCGAATGGTATTTTTTTTTCACTGTTCATTACACTGCTGGTTGGGTCAAGGGGGGTTGGGGTTGCTGACTCCTATATACTATAGTGGTACAGTCTCGACGGTGTGCTGGACGGTGTCATGGAGGTACGTTGATATACCTCAATAATTCTGCAAACACCCTAAACAAGAAAAAACAAGTAAATTAATAATTTAAAGAACGTCAAATTGTCGAGTTTGCTTACTACTAATTTTATTATTTACATTAAACAAATGTTTTCCCAACTTGAAATATATTTAAATAATTATAATATTGGTGAAGATGGTGAAAATATCTTGATTTTATACGAAAACTACGAAATATTTACAACCATTCTACGGTTTTTGACAATCAACTTGGCGAAATATTCAATCCGGCCAAACATTAACATCTATTGTTTATTTATTGAATGTAAGTAATAAACGAACTCAATTGTATTATCATAACTTAACGTTTTCATTTCAAAACCGAATATGTAAAACGTTTTGATTTTTTTTTTCCATTTCATCATCACTAAACAACGAAAGTGATCTTTTTCAAATGCAATGTATCTTTTGTAGAAAATGTATACATATAATATTATCATGTATAACATATATGATAATACACTATCTGAATTGTGGATCATTCTCAAAGAATGCAAAAGTATATTAAAGAATAATCAATTTTCATAATTAATATTCCAATGTTCCAATCATAATACAACATTCCTCATATTCAATATCGACAATCTATACACAATAACAAATACCTCAAATACGTTATCACAAATGAAATATATTTTCTGTAAAATTAAAGACATTTTACTTTATTTTAAAAAATGTGTGTATTTTTCGAGAAACTACATTGCTAATTACATTAGCAGCAAAAATTTAATATTTACTCCAAGTCTGGATTCTAGTACCAATGCCTGTGTTAAAGCAAGCTAAAGCTGCTTCAATGTTCCGTGTAACTTTATGGAATTGTTATCAATTTAGTCCAAGAGCTGGAAAACAGTGAATTAGACAAAACTTGAATAGTTTTGCTCCAATTTGCAATTGCGATTAGAGTACATCAAACTTTATCAAAAAAGCTTTTATCAACAAAGTTTTCATACCGTACATTGTAAAGGGTCTTTAGAATTAAAACATCAAACTTTGGTTATACCGTAATTGACCAAATGAATTATGTAAATCTAGTTGCTGCTACTATTTGCTCATAACATTCAAGGACATTCACATTCTATGTAAAAAAATTTTTAAGATAAAACAATTTTTAACCGTTACAAAAAATGAGATTCCGACTTGCTGTTAAAAATTGACCTTCCATGTCAAAATGTGAAAAATAGCTTATAATATTTAATATAGTATATATAACATATAACATCATATATTTAAGTAGTATGACTAATAATAACAGAATAAGAACTAATTTTTGTTAAGAAATAATTTTAACCACAAAATTTTGAATAACATTCATTTCATTGAATTTTGTTTATTTATCTAAAAGTTGAATCATATATTACCAGAAAGGCTTGAACTCACTCAATGATACCAATACCAGCAGAAAAGTCAACTCTTGTTCACAGAATTGGATAATAATAAATAAATAAATAAGAAATATATTAGCATATACAAAATTAAATTAAATATATACTAATAGACTGAATCATACATTAAAGTTAAGGTTTCAAGATAAACAATTTAATTATACCCTGAAAGAGATATTAATAACCTATAAATACTAGCTATCATATTTTATATAATACTATCAATTTATTTCTATTTAATTGTATTAATGGCTATTGTAGACATTTGTATCTAGTCAGAATATAAGAGCTGATTAATTTATTTTTTAATTCAACATAGTGTGAGTTTATCAATTCCTAAAAAAAATCTGATCCAGTTTTCATCCAAAGGATAGTTCTCAGTGATAAAACATATATTACTAATTATTTTTAGGAGTTGTATTGAAATTTTGTAGCGGGTGAAAAGTAATCATACAAGCACTACCTCATACTTGAATTCAATAATTTATGATTCTATAAAAATAACTATGATGTATCATTAGAACTTTTAAACTTAATCTAATCACCAATTTGTATAATAATATTCATTTTATTTATAACACTATCCCAGTTTTCATCTTTAGCAATATAACAGCAGTAATATCCTTATAGTATATCACTGAATCAGTCAGCATATTTACAAGCAAACTGTTTACATATAATATAAAAAATAGCGGTCTCAATTATAGTTCGTTGAGAAACTCCTATACCAATATTCTTATAAAAACTACGGTTTGTTTTATCTAATTTGACAAAATTAAATTGGGTAAGTAAGCTTTTTCATACCTTGTTAAAAATTTGCATGTTAATAGAAATTTAGTGCAATAATACTATATTAGATTTAGGACTATATTTGTCATAAATACTTTTTGTCAAAAGAAGTTAGGGAATATAATGATATCTAACTTACATATTGCAAGTCTTTTATTATTTTTCTATTATATATCTATTTTTAAATTATATAACAGTTTTCTTTATAGACCATTGTTTATAAATTTGTCATACATCTTGCAAGTAAAACTTTCTAAACTTTTTTTATTAGAAATTTTCACCAGAACTTGGATTAATTTTTTTAATAGCTATTTGTATGAATATTTGCAGAACTTGTCTTTTTCATATGAATCGATGGATAACGAATTTGTTTATTATAACATATTGATACTTTGGCCAATGTAGCACCCCCCCCTGCCCGACCTGCAGAATTAATCTAAAATAAAATAAAATTATACAATCTCATAGATTTTGAATTGCCCAATACGATTACGTCCTCAGATTATTTTGACCATCTATAGTTTATCAGTAATTAATTAATAATAATCGGTTTACCATCTGCGATTTCAAATTCTAATATCTTTTTTATTATAATATATTTTTAATTTCCCAATTTTAAAAAATTGCCCATAGATCGACTTAATTTGCCCAGTTGACTACGATTACAAATGTTTAATATTTTATAAGAAAATTGTTCCGTTGTGACGGAAATTGTATGTGTGTGCGTGCGCCAGAGTGAATGTGCATGGGTGAGTTCAGCATGAGCGCGACAGTTCAATGACGCTGTGTGACGGTACTTTTCCGGTCTCGTGAGAATTGCCGCGAAAAGAGAGCAGTATTCATGCTGATACCGGTAAAACCGCACGTGTTCGCCTTGCAATCAAGGACCTTTCGGCATTACCCCAGTAGCCCTCACAAAGACGCAAATCGACGTATTGCGCAACCCTTTCGACTCATTTTTTCCGAGTTACCGCTCAAGGAATCGTGTAAAAATTCGAGTGTACAACGAGTGCATAAATGTATGAGGTTCTTTAACCATAAAAACGTCCAGCCCAGTGCAGTTTTTATTCGCGCCTTTCCGAGGTGTCGAAAAACCTCATCGCCTTTCATAGGCAATTTTAGCGATCTCCTCAACGGTGCGCTTTTTAACGACATTGGACGGTCGTTGCACGATCGCCTCAATGGTGCGTCAACGCCTCCTTTGTTCGTAAAATCGAGTGTGTGTGTGTGTAAGTGTAGTGCGCGTCACTTTTCCCTTTCTCAACTCTTTCTTTTTTTTTTTTTATTTTATTAAATATGGGTTTTTTATGCCTTTAGGCTTTTTCCCATCAAAAAAAGGTTTGTTTTGATTATTCAATTACCCTTCCCTTACAAAGAAAAAATCAGCGTCAATGCCATCTAGGGCATGATAGCTTCTCAACATTAAACATGGTGCCTCCTGTGAGGTATTAAAATCTCACGAATTTCATTGTCTGGGAAAGTGACGTGTGCGCGAGTGATTGTTTGTGTGCGCGAACCGTTTTGGACAAGTTGCTCGCCAAAAGACTGTGCCAATGCTTCACTTGCTTCGCGCTGCAGACATCAGCTGTCCAGCACTACGACCAACCATCACTCTCACCAAAGGGCGCCTCATCACCCGGCTGGCCGAAGAGTTGTTGAGATAAGTGTCTTTTTTGATCGCTTTCTTTTCTCGTTTCTAACGTCAATAAATCTATATTTCTTCAATTGTGTCAATTTCCGTTTTCTTTTGAATGAGAGGAGTTCCTCTTGATCTTCTAATATATTTCTTTTTGTATGAATAACGACCTGTTTCTTATTTAATAGATGTGATCGAGGCGTAACAGCGGTTACGTCCATCAACGTTCATTTAAACCGCAAGTTGCGAATTCTTTATTTTTCTCTCTCTTTACGGGTTCTTCTTTAGGTTTTCGCGTATGTTTTTATTTTTTTTTCTCTCTATAATCCAAAATGACAGACGTCCAGGCGAGATCAGCCTATATTGCGCAAAAAATTCAAGCGTTTGAAAGGCAAGTCAGGAAACTACAATCGTATTTACAGAGCGTCCAAGTAGATCCTCTTAATGCAAAGGCAAGACTTGATCTTATCTCAGCTTTACCCAAAGACATGGTGAGGTACACAGACGAACTATTTGTGTTGGATTCCTCTCATGCTCAGCTTACTTTGTTCGATGAAATTGAATCCATCTTCTTCAGCCTCGTTTCCTCTGTTGCGAAGCTTCAACCGGTAGTCAGCAATGCGCTAGCCAGTTCAACTCTGAACGCTAGCAACATAACTATTACGGAACGACATGATCTTCCCAAACTTCCTCAGGTCCAGATACCTTCTTTTGATGGAAAAAGTGAAGCTTGGGCTCACTATAAGAGTAAATTCATCGCTTTCATGCACTCTCGCGTCGACATCAGCGATGCGGTCAAGTGCGGTCTTCTTTTCGGATCTCTCACGGGAAGGGCACTTGAGAAAATCAAGCACTTCACCCTAGTGAGGAGGATTATGTTGAGGCCTGGCAGACGCTACTGGATTCATATGATCACAAAAGGATCGTGATCAACCAGTATTTGGATGCCATCATTTCCCTTCCGAAAGTCTCAACCGCCACCGCCGCACAGTGTTCCAAATCAGAAACAAATCTCCAAAATGAAATAAATCGCGAACCAATACCCCTAGCGAAATGAACCCAACGGCATTTTAAAGCTGAAATAATGTAGAATAAAGGAAAAATGGTCGCGTATGAATCACTTAAACTTTTGACCTTCAAAATGAAGGTCAAAGTTCAAATTTTCTCAAGAAAAAAGAGTTTTTCGAGTTTTAAATATGGTTCAGTAATTTTTTTTTTAAAAGTAAATAGGCCATTTTGTAGCTTTTTCAATAACAAATAATAACCTGTCATTCAAAATTTTTTTTTGTTTATTTTTGAACAAAAAACATTAGGTCAAAGTATCAACATTTTCAACGAGTCTATAATCTCAGCACACAAGACAGAAAATATCTATAACAAGCATATTATATAGATTATTTCTATGTAATTTTTCCCGCTGAACACCACTCCGTAGTCAGAAGTGGCCTACCACGTTCC